TCCAGAATGAAAAACAAAACCTAAAGGAAAGCAATGCACCAGCAGGTGAGAATATGCACTCTTTCTTAAATTTAACTTTTTTTGTGTGTGATGTAGGTCCAAAATTACCATATGCCTTTCATTTTGTAGCGTCAGATGACAGCGGCTCACTTCAAGAGCAGGTGAAGCAAGTGGGGATAATGTTGAAGATGTTTGCTCACACTGGGCAATCAGGTACAACTTGCAAACAACTTAAGCGTTGGTTGTTGGTTTAATTCCCAATGGGGACTGACTACTTTATTCTTTTATTCTGGGAACCCCTGTAGTTGCAGACGTCTTGGAGTGTTTGGGCGATGTTGTGCGCAGCATGGACAACAAAATGGACTCTATGCTGCATCATTTTGAGTTATCCCTGCCAGGGGATCTGTTACTCCCACTAGACACCCAGGAAGATTTGGCATTACTTGACAACAGTATGAGACAGGATAAAAAGCTCCATGTACAATTTGTAAGTGTTCTGATTTCTTTTATATCGCAATAGTGTAAAAAAAAAAGTGTTTTTTTCTTTCTAAAAAGTAAAATTAAGATTGTACACAGCATATTCTACAGTATGAATCCACACCCTGTTACATTTTAAATTTATGAGAAGCTTCAGATAAATGTAATTAGTTACACTTTTTTTTTCAGGGACCTAAAGACAACCGTGTGGCGAATGCTTCAGAGTATCTTCTCTAATCACCGTTCCATCAATATAACCTGGTCTGGTGTAGGTGATAAAGCATGTTTTAGAGACATGTTCCTGAAGACCATTGTTCAAAGTAAGTTGGATATTTTTTTTTTTATATATATATATATATTTAAGTAGATGTGTATGACTTTATGCCTTTCAAATGGAATGACAGATCTTTTTTTTTACAGGAGCCATCCGAAAGAACCCGGCGACCCAGGATGCCACTGATGAGGCCATCCAGGTTAACGTTACACATCACCTGAAAGGAGCATCTGACTGTGCAGGTGGAAAAAGGCACCGCTGAGTGGGACCCACAGCCGACCCCTTAAACCTAGGCTGACTACTGACACCCCAGCATCACTTGACAACTGGAACCCTTTTTTTATCCTGCAGACAGTAACTTCAAGACATCTAAAAAAGGCTTGTTACAGTGCTTAACTCTTCTATTTAAATATAGCTTGTAAATCCTAGATTATACATCTAATACTTGATTTCTGCACATTATCTGGTATCAAATATTCTACTTGCCGTGACTTTAGTATTGAGTTATTTCATTTCGTCAGTGCTTAACGATTCTACATGCTCTATGCACGAACCCTGCTGACGTATGTCCGAAAGAATCTCAGCCAGCTTCTTTACTTCCACAAGCGCATTCTGCAGGCAAAGTATATAGCGGCAAAACTTTAATAAAATTCATTTTCTTTCACTTTTCAATTCCTCACAGTTTTTTGTAAACAGTGAGTGTAACTTGCCACTATCTCCACCTAATGCAAAACCGGCTTCTGACGCAGCACCGTATGTAACTGGGCGTCCTGAGACAAACCCGGAAGTGATCGTGCATAGAGCCTATTATAGTTTGCAAATCCTGTTTCATGCCTGATATTTGATATTGCACATTAACTAGTACCACAAATTCTACTTTAATTCCATCAGTGTGCTTAACTGTTATTCTATTAAAAATAGCTTGGAATACTATTTCTTACCTCTGATACTTGAAATTGCACATTACCTGGTACCAAATATTCTACTTCAGCTGAACTCTTTATGTTATTAGCAAGTATTGTAAGTGTTATACAGTGTTATTTATATATATATATATATATATATATATATATATATATATATATATATATATGTGTGTGTGTGTTTTTTTTTAACTAAAAATGTATTGGAAAGCTGTGTGTGTATTTGTATTTTTCTGTTATATTTCAGCAATCTGACATTGTTTAATGACAGTTACTGTACTTTCAAATGTGGAAATAAAATGTCAAATGAAAATTTGTCTGGTTTGAGCAATCATTATTCTTGATAAACTGCATGCTATAAATATTAAATTAAATAAATAAATATATAGTGCAATAAGCGGCGGGCCGCGGTCAGCTCGCTCGAAAAGAGCGTTTGCCTCCGACGGGCCGCTGAAGGTCCGCCTTTGGTATAATGGCGGTGGAACGGCGGCTGGCCGGCGGGCCGTCCGCGGAACGAAGGCGGTAGGAAGGCGGCAGACGCTTTTAAAAAGCGGCTGCCGCCGGCGGTCCGCCGTCAAACGTGTTTGCGATTTCGCCTTTCTGACGCTTCTACTGCCTCCGGAGCGCCGCCGGCGGCCCGCCGACTCATTGCTATCTGGGATTTATCTATATTTATACATGCAATTCATGACTAAATGAATGGTGTCACACAGTGAACTATTTTGTGTAACAATAAACCCAATATATACTTCTGAATTAAAAACACTAAAAATCGTTTATTTCGCGTTTTTGTGTGATGGAAGCACATGGAAGCTGACAATATTCTTCATAAAATAGTTCTGCAAAACTGAACACAGTTGAGAGGACACTATTTGTCTTATATTTTATAGATGAATGGTAGTTTTGAGATCTGTCTGTAGTAACCAGTTCTCCTGGGTCAGACTGTGGATTATAGCCCTTTAGGACTGTTTTCTTAGGCTATGTTTACATGGAAACGATTCTGAAGAGAAAACGCAAAAGTGGCGTCGCGTCATCACTTTTTATTCTGCGTTTAGACGAACATTTTGTGTGGGAACTCCGCGTGCAAACGGTGACGCAAAAGTGTGTGAAATTCAATGTAGTATGCACTTCAGGCGGCTAGGAGTGCATATTACAACAACACCAAGTCCACGCGTCTGCGTTCAACCTTCACTGTCAAGCAGACTTTTGCGTTTTTACCGGACATCGACTACCGGTCCAACACTTCGAGCAATCCGCCATTATTATTTCTCGCTCCGATTTTGTAGTCCGAGCTCAATGATGCAGACGTTACGAGAGGGCAAGTCAAAATGTTCGGTTGTTGGATGTACGTTAGTGACTGAAGCACTTCAAGGATTCCCACTTCAACAACCTCCGCCAGTAACGTTGTACAGAAGGGTTTGCCGATCGACTTCGTCTGAATGAGGGGTCAATTCCTTCTATCTTTGGAGACGACGAACAGAGCATTTCGATAAGCTGTAAATATCGTTAATAAAAATAAAGTACTTTACTTTCTTAAAACACATGGTGGTCATAGTTTAGCAGTACCTTTGTCTTTTTTTGTTTTTGTTTTGAAGTAACGTTACACGTCTGCAGTATTATTGTTCTTGAGTTTCATCAATGGTCATTTAGCTGCGTTGTTTTCTGATGCTTTTCTAAACGTATCATATTGTCAATACAGATTTTTTTGTGGTAAGATTAGACTGTAGTCATTTATCTTGTCAGTGTGCTTGTTTTAACAAGAGAAATAGTCGACTTTCACTAATAACACAAAACAGTTAACTCGCATACCAATACATGAAGAGGTTGTTCTGCAGGTTCGTCGTCGTCTTTATCAACTCGCTCTAGCTCGAATATGTAAGGCTTGATGGACAAGTCTTCTGTTGTTGACATTTTATTAATGTGTGAATAAAAACGTTCTTTGAAGGTATCATATATAATCGTATATCTCTAATTAAACTACAATAATGGCCGAACGTGGGGAGTTGAACTGACCGTGAACTCATCGACCTGGAGAGCGGGCGGGGTGTGACGCATCTCCTTTTTATTTAAAGGGGACGCATTGAAACGGGTCGCTCACAGACGCACATCAGAAAAGGGGTAGAAAAGGGGCCTGTGGAGCTATAGCACGTGTGAGATCCGCGTCTCGGCAATGGCTGCTCTTAAAGGGCCAGCAGCGAATAAAGCGGTCAGTAAGGTTAATCAAAGAGCAAAGGGAACATAGAAAATTACTCACTGCTCTTGACTAAAGAACTTTTGTAGCTTTAATAAGGATTAGTCTATATATAATTTATAATTCATGCAGTGCAGACTGTTTGATAACTTTAACCTTATTCAATTTCTGTATCTACCTGTTAAGACAGGAAGGGCACAGGTAAATATGGCATTGATGGTTTATTGATCATAGGTGTTATCAATCATTTACTTGTTGTTGATAGTTTGAGTTGAGAAATACACATTAATACACAGAATGATCACTAATCTGCATGTGCATTTTACTTTAGAACCAAGCAAGTTGACTCATGAAACCATTTGTTTATTATATCACTATTGCAATTGCAATATTGACCTCAATAATTGCAATATGACATTTTCCTCAAATCGTGCAGCCCTACTAAGCATAGATAGATATGATCCCTTCGCTATGTGCTATGAACTTTTCAATGTGAAGCGTTGCGCGCTGTGACTTTGCGTTGCTTCAAATGCATCATTCTGCGCACGGGATGCGCATGATCGCTTTGCTGCTCTTAGTGGAGCCTTTCATATTATAATACTTAGGGGAGACAAGGGGGTGTGGCCTAAGGGAATATCACTCGTGGGCCACGCCCCCTCCCCCTGGGGAAATGGGCCTGCCACAACAGCTGAAAAAATCCTAGAGTGGGACGAGGGAACCCAGTGGAGTCACTATACAGAGGCTCCCTGGAGGGGCCAGGACAGAGCCGGCAGGTCCACGGGCCAAGATGGAACAAGAGAAACTGAGACCAGAGGCAGATGAATGCATGAACTGCGGCTCGACGTTCCAGCAGGGCATGTCATGTAGCAGCGGCGGGGCTGGAGGACTGGCTGAGCTCTGTGAAGGTTGTGATATCAGACGGGACTGGATGATGGGGAGTAGGGTACATTCCACACAAATCAAAGAGAAGAATAAATCAGCATCCATATCATTCAAAATGCTATATTTAAATATTGACAAAATGATACAAGGTTGGCTTGGCTTGGGTTGGCTTGGGTGGGAGAAAATGATACAGGGTATCATTCAGGGTTTGATGCATGGGGTGGTATTGGGTGGGAGTAGATTCCTCTTCACAGTCGTTGATGTCGCAGGCTCACACCCCTGGTCAGACTTGCTTGGTGGCTCAGATGGTGAGCACCGCCCTGAACACAAACGAGAAGAATTACTTAAACACAGCTGACTCATACAAACTTAAAATGGTGGTAACTATGGAGACAGACGAGTGGTGGGAATCAGAACAAGGAAACGTTATAATTTAAAACTATCTGAAAGTCCAGTATCAAAATTAACAGAATGGTGACAGATTGCATGTCTAGTTAGTATCTTGTTTAGTATGTGCAGGAAGAAAAGCACATACCTTGTAGGAAAGCTTACTTTGACCAAGGAGAGCAACTTACAAAGTGCAATCCTATAGTTTTTTTAGAGTACCAGACTTGCCTTGTTTTGGTTTTGTACAGTAAAAACCCACCTTAATGTTTTGAAATGGAAATTTGACGCCATTCTTCTCATTAAATCCCGGGACCTTGTGTATATTTTTGACCTCCCAATCCCACGCGCAGCAATGGTAAACCCGCTGACTGATCCTGCTAGATTTGTGTTAGGACGAGTGGGATCCTTATCCAGGGCTCTACTGTGAGATTTTATAAGGGCTTTGATAACTGACAGCTTGAAGTATAAGAGACATGTCCTAAAGAAAGCAAAGAATTTTGACAAGACATTTTGAGGTTACAGGTTTCACCTTTTTCATTTGTTTTATGGGTATAGGATCTAGTATACTTGTTGGATTTGATGTTTTACATGTCAAAATAGTAACTTTTTTTTAAATGTCTTTTCACCTTAGGCTTGATGGAGCTGAAAGAGGAGAGTCAAAAACTGAAAGGAATGAAAGAGAAAGATCAGAATGAGAAATCTTTTTCAGTGGAAAGATCTTACTCACAGACACATGAAACAGAAAACAGAAACCTTCAGATGAGAGTTCACACTGGAGAGAAGCCTTTCACCTGCCAACAGTGTGGAAAGAGTTTCAATCGAAAACAAACTCTCAATGCCCACTTGAAAATCCACACTGGAGAGAAGCCTTTCACCTGCCAACAGTGTGGAAAGAGTTACAATCGAAAAGACACTCTCAATGCCCACTTGAAAACCCACCCTGGAGTGAAGCCGTTCATATGTCCTCAGTGTGGAAAGAGATTCACACAGAAAAAAAACCTTAAAATCCACAAACAAGTTCACACTAGAGAGACCTCTTTGACCTCCCAACAGTCTGGAAAGAGTTTCAATCGAAAAGACAGCATTAAAGTCCACGCTGGAGAGAAGCCATTCATATGCCCTCAGTGTGGAAAGAGATTCACACAGAAAAAAACCCTTAAAGTCCACTTGAACATCCACACTGGAGAGAAGCCGTTCATATGCCCTCAGTGTGGAAAGAGATTCGCACAGAAAAAAACCCTTAAAATCCACATACGAGTTCACACTGGAGAGAAGCCTTACACCTGCCAACAGTGTGGGCAGAGTTTCTCACTACAAGGAAATCTTAAGATGCACATGAGAGTTCACACAGGAGAGAAGCCATTCACATGCTCTCACTGTGGGAAGAGTTTTAAACATAAAAGAGACCTTAATGCCCACATGAGAAATCACACAGGAGAGAGGGCATACACTTGCAAAATGTGTGGAAAGAGCTTAAGAGATAAATCATACCTGAATCTTCACATGAGAATTCATACTGGAGAAAAGCCTTTCACCTGCCCTCAGTGTGGAAAGAGTTTTACGATTAAAGGAAACCTTAAGATGCACATGAGAGTTCACACTGGAGAGAAGCCGTACAAGTGTCTGCAGTGTGAGAAGAGTTTCACATATCACTCAAACCTGAAACGGCATTCTCACACTCATTCTGTAAAGAAACCGCCCTTTTCCTCGGTGTGAGGAGGTTTAGAAAAAGTAGCAATTTCAGCAATCATCTGTGCATTCACTGGAGAAAGACAATTCCATAGTTATTAGTGTAATAAAAACATCACACTTACAAATACATATACAAGCAAAACTTCAAATAAATGCCAGTCCCAAATAGATGCCTGTCTTTCTTACAAACCTGGTGTGGATAAATAAAGGCCAGTCTCAAATAGAGGCCCGGTCTGTTTTTTAGTTTTGGGTTGTATTTAATCTTCTAAAACCCGTCAGATCGTCTGTTTAAGCCAGTTCCATGGTGCAGATTGGTGCACACACAAGAGAGCCCTGCACATCTGGGTGGTAGTTAAAGGTAGCCGAAAGACCGGCAGGCAGAGTTGGCGGAGACCGGAGAGGGAGAAGTGGAGGAGAGCGACAAGGAGGAGGAATTCGCCATGAACTTGTAGTTCAGGATGGTGGAGATGATGATAGTGATGAATAGGGTCATTTTGTATCACATGATCAGGACCGGCGCGTGCACTTCTGCCGCTCTAGGTGAAAAACAGTTTTGCCGCCCCTCTATTTGCAACGTATACCAGTGTAACCCCTCAAACCCAGGTCCAACTCGACCCGGGTCTCCGGCATGAGAGTCAGGCGCGCTAACAAGGAGGCTAAAGACTGCAGCCCCTAGCGTCTGTCGCTAGAGCGCCTATTGAGATCGGGGAGTGAGGTTTACTCGCACAGCAACTACTAGCTGGCCTCCGTTACACTAGCAACAACAAACAAAGACCAACATGCCATGCCACATACATATAATGCGAAAAAACCTAGTCTGAAGTCAGTGGCGCGTTGCTCTTTATTAATAATGCTATTTTAAGGGCGCATGCTTAGCCATAATGTAGCGGGTGCACAACGCGCATACACTTTGATTCTCTCACCAACACAGATGCAGCAGTTTTTATTTTTGCAAATCATACATTATAACAAGGAAAATATTAACACTTCTAGCTTACACATTTAGGCTACCCAAATTTTTCAGGCTAATTGTAGGCTAGTAATGTCGGATCAGACCTGTTTGGCAAAACATAGATGTACTATAAGGACATAACTTACCCCCATACAACGTCACTTCTCTGTCTTTTATGGCCAAAGAAGAGGAACATTAGGCCAACCTTATGGAAGTGGTTCCATTAAATTACTGGAAGAGTGAATAAGACCAATGGGAAGCTGCAGAACATGAGAACATTAGTTTATTACCGGTACTTATGTTCACCTGTTATAAAAGAAAGTCTAAAGTCTTCTCAAGCTGTATGTCAAACCCATGTAATCTGCTGCCTGTTACATGTCAAAGTAAGATTGTTAAATGTCTGTTTTATTACAATATAAGACAATTCATAACATCTTTGCAGAAACAACTTATTTACTTGCAGGTTAAGCCTTGTTCACACTACATGATTTTAAAACGTCGGGCTGATCTGTGCGGTTCACACTACATGACTTGCTCTCAGTGAAATCAGGAGTGTTCAAGTTGTTGAGCTGTTCACACCACACAACACAACGTGATTGATCCACAACAGGAGGTAACTCACTACACGAGTTGACGACGCACTGCATAGAGATACAACCACGATCGGATGATAAGAGCAAATCATTTGTGACTCAATGAGAGCTGTTTCAGTACTATGTTACGGTCTAAATCCTGAAAATAATCAAATAAATAACAAGTTGACAACAACTCTTGTCACCCAACGATTCTATCTTGTCAACAAACCACGTTTTGTCACGAAAAAACCACGCAATAAATAAATATTGCGCCAATACCCAGCGAAGAAGAGAACACAACACGTGAAAATGGACGTCAGACAGAAACTAGTGCTGCACACTGTTTGCACGACGATCTGCTCTGAGGAAAAAAAATGCAAAAAAAGAGAGAAAAAGTACTCATGACATCACTGAGTTTGAGTCGCGCGACGGCTCTGGATACCTAGCAGGCTAGATATTTTTCTGGGCTCGGCGAGGCGTCTGCGAGCGTTTTCGCTGCGTTGTTGGCTCTTTCATACTAACAGATTGGCAAGCGTTCATCGTCCGCTAATCCCCCGTGATTTGCACGCGATAACACCCTGACCTGTCGGCGACTCAACGATTTGCAAATCGGGCATAAATCAGGCTTAAAATCCTGTAGTGTGAACTTGGCTTTACAGAAATCAAACTTTATGCAATCTACTCCACTGTTGCATGACGTCCATATCAGGGCTCCAGACTAACTTTTTTTCTTAGGAGCGCTGTTGCCCCTGACTGAAAATTTTAGGAGCGCTAGATATCTGATATCTATGTTTATAACAAAAATCTGAGCCGAATCGGAATGTTTCTCACTGGATCTCGTAGCGATGATGTTATTAATTCTGGGGCGAATTCAAAGGATTTCTTCACTGGATCTCCTAGTAACAGTGTCGCATGAGCAAGATCGCCCCGCGACTGGCAAGTTCGGGGCTTAATTACTGTCAGTGGTTCGGGGCGCTCCATTAGAACGGCTATGCGCGATCTCTGTCTATTATTGGTCCAAGCAGGGGCGTAGCACCAAATTTTGGGCCCTGGGTACAAACCATCTTGCTGGGCCCCCATACCAAATACCATAGTGATATACCAATGGTGTGGTATTATCATAAAAACACTTAAAATGAAAACAAATTAAGCCACACTCAGATTAATATATTTTAGTTTTATTGTCAAAAGTACTACTAAAGGGCTCCAGACAAATTTTTTTGACTAGGAGTGCTGTTGCCCCTGACTGAAAATTTTAGGAGTGCAAGCAGCTTGCAGTGCAATTATTAACATTTTCCCCAAAATAACTAATACTGACAAATTCAAATATTACGATATGCAGTTTTATTTTAAGTTCACAGGGCTCCAGACTCAAATTTGAGGGCAGCACCACCTCGAAAGAGAACTCAACTGAGTTCTGAAAAAATCTGGTAGCACTGGGGCTGACAAATCACTAAGCTTAATTTAGGGTGTAGATGAAATTAACTTTAGTTATTATCATTCATAATGTCTTAATATTGGTTAAAGAAACAAAGGAAGTGAAAACGTATATTAAGGAGTGAAAATAGCCAATGAACATCATACTGTTTACAATGTTTGTTTTTTTTTTTTTTTTTGTTTTTTTAAATTAGTTTTCCAACATATTAACATTTTTCATTTTAGGAGAATTTTTAAAGGATGAACAAAAAATGTGTTCGTCATCACATAAAAAATACAACATTTATATATGATATAATAGTTTTGAAGTGTTGGAAAAAGATGTAGTAGTAGGCACTGTTCTATATAATGACATCATTCTATATAGATCAGTAGCCTAGTTGTAGGCTACTTGTAAGAGAATAAATATTTATGTCACATTATCATATTTATGGTTAGAGTTAACTTACAAAATTAGCATAAATCCATGGTGAATGTTGAATTGTGGACTGAAAGCCTTCTATAAGTGTTTCTCCCACTGATCTAATGAATATAGGTATTATCTGAATTGAGAGAGTTAAGGAACCGGATGAACTTAGCTCTGTGATAGTGAGTGTTACAAGTAATAATAAGCACATAAAGTAAATAAAATGAAAATGATCAAACGAGATTCTTTAAATATAAAATAAAAGAAAAGCAGATTAGTAATAAGTCTGTGGAAAAACACTGCTCATTCGCGTCTGTCAGCGGCCGTGCGCTCCTCTCAGCCATTCACTGAACAGGGGAGACGCAGCGAGAGAGAGTGACGACAGGGAGAAAACCTCGCGCTCGCAGGACAGTACATCATTTGGAGGTTACTGAGGTTTGTCCAAAAAGTCACTAAAATTGTTACTAGTCAATTTTTGGAGAAAAAAAAATGCCGCTAAAGGGGTCTGAAAAGTCGCTCTAAATAACGACAAAGGCGCTAAATTGGCAACTCTGTATCACCGCAGCAGAAGCACCTGGCCTGCGGGTTGTACCATTTACATTGATTCGAGAGGGGTGGTGGGGCCCTGCACAGCATGAAAATGACTTTTTTTATACCAAACCAGTGCCTAACTACAAGTTTTTATTTGTACATTAATGCTATACAAATGTTAGTGCATGTATATGTGTGTATAGAAAACTGACTTCTAAGGGCCCTCCCTGCCTCGGGCTCCGGGTACTCGATACCCTTTACCCCCCCAGTCCGACGCCCCTGGGTCCAACCTAATAAAAACGCCAACGGTCCGTGAAGCATAGCTTATTTGAGTTGTGTATTTTGCATAGGCTATTTGAGTTACGTAACGTGTGGCAAATTTACTGGTCGCACATGTGCGACTGGATGTAAAACTTTGTGTTAAAGCAAAGTTTTATTTTGTAATATAACACTAATATTAATGCATGTTTGTCCTCTCCCCACAGCTTGAAATTCACCCGGGCTCAGGAGTTCATGTACAAAAAAATGTATTGTGGTCAGCTAGCCATGCAAACAGCCCCACTACCATGGCTCGGATGCTTCTCCTTGGAGTATTTGATATTGATACACTTCTTAAAGCTTCTTAAAGCTGTGTAACAATTTTAGTTTATTCTTAGCTAAAAACACTTAGTTCTTTCAAAAATATATGCGTTCATTAATGTATATTTACTTCGTTCAAGTAATAAAGTATTCTCGTGAGTGTATAATATGCCATTGAAAATACATACGGGTAAGGGGTTCTAATGTAGCCAATGAGAATTGAGTGATTCATTAGGATTTTTACATTTCAACGAAGTCTGCCATTGCGTTGAACTTTAGCTAAAATGTGGCGGCACATTACTGGGGTAAAGAGGCCAGCTGAAACAAACAACCAGCAAAAAGATGAGGATGAGAAAAAGAAAAGTAAAAGAAGACATTTTAATACAAAGCGGACAATTGGCGTCAATGGCAAGGTTCGTGAGCGGCTGATTTATGACAGCAACTGTTGTTTCGTAACGTTCGCGATCAGAAAGAAGATGAGGCCCTTTTCTGACTATGTTTAGATGCGATGATTATTAATTTGTTGGTGAGATGAGATAATGTTTCACAGATGTGTGTGCGTGTGCAACTGTGCATGTTGGGAGTTGGGAACCGGTGAGAAAATGTCCGGTACCCGGCAACTTTACCAGTAATAACAATATTCATACAATGTAAACTTTGCCTTACACTAGTGATGTCGTACAACATACAGAATAACGATAGCAATGATAAAAGTTACTTTACTAAGATTAACTTGCATTCGTCTGGGAACCTGATAACTGATGTTAGCAATGCAATGGTAAATAAATAATGAAAACATAAAACTATTATTCATTTTACATAGATGCCATAACCTATGATACCTGACAAATTAAATTACTGCAAATTATAATTTTTTTTCTAAAATAACCTCATCACTTGAAGGAACACTCATAGACGAGGTCGAACTGGAAGCCATGTTAATCTTGGACTACATCCACCGTAGGAGTTAAAACGAAATCGGAATTGAGAGGAACAGAAACTAATATTCACTGAATGGTCATATACCTTATCACCACTAGATGGGGTAAAAATCACACAGTGTAGCTTTAGGAGCAATTTCAGAGGTACATAATGGGACATAGTGACTTCAAGTGTCTGTATAATTATTATAATTTTTTGATAATTATGTAGATTGAACGTCATATGTGAAGTCTTTGGGTAAGGGGTTAAAGTAAAAAAAAAACTGCTCTATTATAGTAATTCTGGCATATTTACAGATATATGTACACTCATTCACATTTACATTGAAATATGATGCTTTATAGATATAAATTGGACTATTTACATTATCCACATTTTACTGAAGCAGAATGAAAAATGTAATGTATGGTTGAGTAATTCTGATTTCATTCTAATCTCTATTATGTTGCTCTTTCTTAGGTGGCAAATCCAAAAATGCAAGTTGATGCAATAATGAGTAAGTATATTACTTGGTTAATTGGGTTTGAATTGTGTAAAACCAAATGTGTCAGTATAACCATCAGAATTGATCAGCTTGGCGTTTCAGTGTGATGACACTGATGACACAATATTTTGCAATTAATATACATACATAATATATATTCAAAATATATGTGTTCACACAATGTTTTTATATATGCCATTTATATATTCCACATACATGTATCAAAAATATATTATATATATTTGGTAACACTTTATAATAAGGTTCATTAGTTAACTACATTAGTTGGCATGAACTAATAAAGAACAGCACTTATACAGCATTTATTAATCTTTGTGAACGTTAATTTCAATATTTACTAATACTTTATTAAAATCTTGTTAACATTAGTTAATGCGCTGTGAACTAACATGAACAAACAATGAACAGCTTTATTTTCTAATTTACTAACATCAACGAAGATTAACAAATATCTTAACAAATGTATTGCTCATGGTTAGTTCATGTTAGTTAATGCATTAACTAATGTTAACTAATGAACCTTATTGTAAAGTGTTACCATATATGGTAAATTATTTGAAAAATATATACTAAGACTATATAAAAATATATGAGGGACATATGTCACATATATGTAAGCGATATGCTATATGTGTAGTTGTGTAGTGTGTACATGTGTAGTGTAATAAAGAAATATATGTCATATTGATAATTATATATGTGACATATATATATATATATATATATATATATATATATATATACACTATTATAGTATATGGACAGATATATGTACATATATGTTTTCACTTTCTATGTGGATATATTTAATATATGTATATTTCATATTTGTATACATTTCCGTATGGGTTTATTGCCATCAGGGTCTTGTATCAGGACAGTGTTTAATTGTCTAAACATGCCTGAATGTAGGTACAAATGTATACAACTTTTAAACAAATGTCTTAATGGTTTTCCTTGTTATTTCTTTTTTATAAAAATGTATTTATGTATTTGTTTACTAATAAATGTATTGATTATTTGTTCTTTGCTTATGTTATGGCCAATGCTGCAAGTCACGCCAATAAAGCTCATTTGAATTTGAGAGACCCTAAGGAGAGAGAGAGAGAGAGAGAGAGAGCCACTGGAGAAGTGTGTGTGTGTGTGTGTGTGTGTGTGTGTGTGTGTGTGTGGCCTCTGTAGTCTTAATCTGGGCCTGCAGAGTTTTCTGTAGATAAATGTCTCACCCAGTGCCCAAACTGTATGTGTGTCACTTAGACCACACTGCTGTTTCCTGTTATGCTAATTTAGTAAAAGATCTTTACCATGGTGAGAAAAACATCTCTCACCCCTGATGCTCTAGACAGGAAACGCATCAAAGAAATATGTTATCGGTGCCCATCCTTTTGAAGAAAACTTTTAACTGCAGTGTTTTGATGGCACACAGTGATTCTCCCCATAGTTTCAATCTTATTCTGTCTCAAGTCCTTTTGAAAAATGTAATTTCTACTAGTTTTCTGAAAAAGTTCTGGTTTAATCGGTTTAAGTTCTCACAGTCCTTAACGAAAACACAGAACTGAAAGGAGTTTCAAAGCAACTTCTGCTCAAGACAGTTCAAGTTCAGTGGAGGAACAAGAAACATCTTCATCATTATTCATGGTTAGTAAATACTACTTCATAAAATACTGGCATTTAACAGTGTCATGAATCCCTTCACATTGATCTAGACTTATAAAACAGCACTGACAGATTGTGTATAACATTTTAGATAGCAAACAACACTCAAAGAAATATTTAATTGACTACAGTAATTTAGCAGATTTAATCAACAGCTTTCTGAAGCCTCATACTGTATGTCTCTCAGCTCAGACTGTATCGAAGTTCTCTCTTCAAAGATGCACACGTTCATCTCACAACCTTTATTTCAAATCATTCATTTAGATCATGTGAGAATCTGTGAATGGCGATGGCGTCTGTTAAAGAGCTGCTTCTGAATTCACTGGAAGACCTGAGAGAAGACCATCTAAAGAAGTTTCAGTGGCACTTAGAGAACGATCAGGAGAGAATAACAAAGTCTGATATGGAGAATGCAGATAGGATGAATACTGTGGATAAGATGGTGGAGTGTTTCGGACCAGAAGAAGCTGTGAAGATCACAGTGGAGATCCTGAGGAAGATGAACCAGAATAATCTGGTTGAGCAGCTGGAGAAAAATCACAAGCAACACAAGCAAGGTAATGTTTAATTGACTGTGACTAATGTAATTGACAGGCAATATGAAGACATCTGTCACTGCTGGAGCTCATTAAATATAAATGGAGTAAATTCACTAGTGACATTTATTGGTAACACTGCACAATAATAGTACATGAATAATAATGTACTAATTCCTGAATTAATAATTACTTTATTATGAACTAATGATGAGTTAAGACGTGTTCTAATGAGGAACTAACCTTAACTACGACATGAGTCATACGAATTCCTGCATGAATATACCATCTTAACTACACGTTAGTAATTAATATATTAATTAACATTTCGGGGTAAACTAAATCAAACTTGCTCTAGAAAATGGACACATTTTGTGGCCCAAAAGAAGAGCAAGAACCCTTACTGATTAATATCCAAATGCATTATGATATACACTCACCTAAAGGATTATTATGAACACCATACTAATACTGTGTTTGACCCTCTTTGGCCTTCAGAACTGCCTTAATTCTACGTGGCATTGATTCAACAAGGTGCTGAAAGCATTCTTTAGAAATGTTGGCCCATATTGATAGGATAGCATCTTGCAGTTGATGGAGATTTGTGGGATGCACATCCAGGGCACGAAGCTCCCGTTCCCCCACATCCCAAAGATACTCTATTGGGTTGAGATCTGGTGACTGTGGGGGCCATTTTAGTACAGTCAACTCCTTGTCATGTTCAAGAAACCAATTTGAAATGATTCGAGCTTTGTGACATGGTGTATTATCCTGCTGGAAGTAGCCATCAGAGGATGGGGACATGGTGGCCATAAAGGGATGGACATGGTCAGAAACAATGCTCAGGTAGGCTGTGGCATTGAAATGATGCCCAATTGGCACTAAGCGGCCTAAAGTGTGCCAAGAAAACATCCCCACACCATTACACCACCACCAGCCTCCACAGTGGTAACAAGGCATGATGAATCGATACTCTCATTCTGTTTACGCCAAATTCTGACTCTACCATCTGAATGTCTCAACAGAAATCGAGACTCATCAGACCAGGCAACATTTTTTCCAGTCTTCAACTGTCCAGTTTTGGTGAGCTCTTGCAAATTGTCGCCTCTTTTTCCTATTTGTAGTGGAGATGAGTGGTACCCGGTGGGCTCTTCTGCTGTTGTAGCCCATCCGCCTCAAGGTTGTGCGTGTTGTGGCTTCACAAATGCTTTGCTGCATACCTCGGTTGTAACGAGCGGTTATTTCAGTCGCCCACAGGACTGCCGCATACTGGATGTTTTTCCCTTTTCACACTATTCTTTGTAAACCATAGAAATGGTTGTGCGTGAAAATCCCAGTAATTGAGCAGATTGTAAAATACTCAGACCAACAACCATGCCACGCTCAAAATTGCTTAAATAACTTTTCTTTCCCATTCTGACATTCAGCTTGGAGTTCAAGAGATTGTCTTGACTAGGGCCACACCACCAAATGCATTGAAGCAACTTCCTTGTGATTGATTGATTAGATTTTGATAAAAATGTTGATAGTTGATAGAATTGCATTAATGAGAAATTGAATAGTTGTTCCTAATAATCCTTTAGGTGAGTGTACGTTGTCAACTTAAGCATGATCAGTGTAAGATGTGTATGTAAACACTATTGCAGTACAAGTGTAGTTAATTTGAATACAGCCGAAGTGCAGTTTTATCAAACATGTGATGTAATAATAATGAATAATAATAATAATTCATTACATTTATATAGCGCTTTACATAGAGAGGGGAATCTCCTCAACCACCACCAGTGTGCAGCTCCACCTGGATGATGCGACGGCTGCCATAGTGCGCCAGAACGCTCACCACACACCAGCTTACTGGTGGAGAGAAGACAGTGATGAAGCCAATTGGTATATATGGGGATGATTAGGAGGCCATGATGGACAGAGGCCACTGGGCAAATTTGGCCAGGATGCCGGGGCCAAATTTACTCCCATACTCTTTCGAAAGACATCCTGGGATTTTTAATGACCACAGAGAGTCAGGACCTCGGTTTAACGTCTCATCTGAAGGACGGTGCTCTTTGACAGTATAGTATCCCCATTACTATACTGGGGCATTAGGATGTAGTTATTCTTGTAATGGGAACTGCAGACCAGGTTACAAATTACATTTGGATATTATTAGGAAAGAATGAAGAAACATGACTTCATTCTGTTTTTCAGAATGAAAAACATGACTTTCTGCTGTCTTTTCCCCCTCTTATTAAAGGTTCAGCCACTCTACCCGATTACACAGAGGCCAGCTGCAGACTGAAGGACACATTAAAACAGGAGTGTGAGCGGATATTGGTTGGTAATTCACAGACAGGTCATCGGAAAAACCTGAACGATATCTACACTGATTTATATGTGGTGGAGAATGAGACTGGAGGAAGAGTGAATGAGCACGAGGTGATACAGATCGAGTCTCACAACCGACCGACTGCCAAGGAGACGGCAATAAAGTGTAATGACATGTTTAAACAAAACTCAAAGGTACTGACGATGGGGATCGCAGGAGTAGGAAAAACTGTCTCTGTCAATAAATTCATCCTTGACTGGGCTGAAGGAAAAGAAAATTGGGATATAACCTTTGTTTTTCCTCTTCCATTCCGTGAGCTAAACCTGATTACAGAGGACTGCAGCCTCATGGAAATGCTGCACGAACACTTCTTTAGTGATCCTAAAGAACTGCCCTCTCTTCCTAAAGGTGACAGGAAGGTCTTGTTCATTTTTGATGGACTGGATGAATGTCGCTTCCCTTTGAGTTTTGAAGATGGTGTCAGATTTACAGATGTTCACAAAAAAACAACAGTGAGTAAGATAATAACAAGCCTCTTTAAGAGACACCTGGTTCCCTCTGCTCTCATCTGGATCACTTCCAGACCAGCAGCAGCCAGTCTGATTCCCCGTGACTACATTGATCAAGTGACAGAGGTGCGAGGATTTAACGATGAGCAGAAAGAGCAATACTTCATCAAAAACAGCAGTCCTGAGGTTGCTCGAAAACTCGTCAGTCACATCAAGAAATCCAGGAGCCTGTACATCATGTGCCATATTCCTGTATTCTGCTGGATCTCTCTCACTGTTCTTCGGCCTCTACTGGCTCAAAAGAGCAATGACAAAACTCCCACAACTCTCACAGGGATGTACACAAGCTTTGTAATTTCTCAGATGCAGCAGATGAAAAAGAAGTACCCTAAAGGTCCTGAACTTAACGACATTGACAGGTTTTTTTATGAGCTTATTTTAAAGCTTGGGAAACTGGCCTTTCGACAGTTGGAGAAAGGAAATCTGATTTTCAACAAAAAAGATCTTGTGGAATGTGGACTTAATGTTAGTCACCTGATTTTTGACAAAAAAGATCTTGAGAAGTGTGGACTAGATGACAGAGAAGGGCCAGTGCAATCTGGGTTATGCACTCAGATCTTTCAGGAGGAAAAGGCTGTTTTAACAACAAGTGTTTACAGCTTCGTACATCTCAGTGTACAGGAATTTCTTGCTGCTCTTTATGTATTTTTGATGAACAAAGACAAGAAAGCAAACCCATTTGTTCCATGGTGGAAAGAAATGATACTGAAATTCTCCATAAAGCCACAGTTTCAGCTTCATAAGGCTGCAATCAACAAGGCTTTAAGAAGCAAGAACGGACACCTGGACCTTTTCCTTCGGTTCCTCCTGGGTCTCTCACTGGAGTCCAATCAGAGTGACCTGATGGGACTACTGCCAGGACTGGAACTCAGAACAGAGAGCATTAAAGACACTGTTGACTATATCAAAAAGAAAATAGAAAAGGAGAAATCAATAGAGAGGACTATCAATCTCTTCTACTGTCTGAGTGAACTGAGAGATGACTTTGAGGAGGAAATCCAGAAGAATCTGAGCTCAGGAAATCTTTCAGCACAGAATCTCTCCTCTGCTCAGTGGTCTGGTCTGGTGTTTGTGCTCCTGATGTCAGAAGAGGCTCAAGAGATGTTTGAACTGCAGAAATACAGAAGATCTGATGAAGCAGTGATGAGACTACTGCCAGTGATCAAAAACACCAGAAGAGCATTGTAAGAGTCTACTTTACATTCATTTATATACACTGTTACTCATTTTAATTGGGCCTTAATCTTACACCGGTATTTGCTGGCTATGACTCATGAAAAAAATGAATAAATATGAATCAATGAATCAATGTGTGTGATGATACAGAATTAACTACCAAAGTATCTGCATTAACAGGCAAGTTGGGTCAGGCATCAGGAAAAAAATTAGGAACCTTCAATGATTTATGAACCTGAGTTTTAACTTTAACTTAAATACCTTTTTTTTAGCTTTGCTTAAATCTTCAGTCAGGCTTTTCCAAATTATCTGTCTTCCAGACTAACCCTACCTAATAAAAAAATACAATTGCATTAGTTGTTTTCTTCTCTTCACAGGCTATATAGCTGTAATCTCACTGCTCAGTGTTGTGGGACTTTGTCTTCAGCTCTACAATTCTCAAACATCTTTCTGAGAGAGCTGGACCTGAGTAACAATGACCTGCAGGATTCAGGAGTGAAGCTTCTTTCTGATGGACTGATGAGTCCAAACTGTCAGCTGGAGACACTGAGGTTTGAATTAATATATATATATATATATATATGTAGGGCTGGGTATTAATTCAGATGTCCCGATTCAGGGGCCTACTCCTGATTAGTAGGGCTAGGTATCGATTAATATGTCCTGATTTGATTTCGATTTTTGAGATCTTGATTCGATTCACTGATTTCAATGATTCATTTATCACTTTCCCCCCACAAAGAATAATTATTGTTTTTGACCCTTCTATTGTAATAAATGAGGTTATGACACCCAAAATTTTAGACAACGGTGAAATTTAACAATTCTCTATTCCAATTTAAGAATTGGTGAGTTTCCTCACCTATTTTGAATTAGTGAGATCTGTCAACTGGTGAGTTACCCCGCCTGACAGATCGTCATCCGAGGATTGGACTGGTTGCTACTATGGTTGTGGGGGGCGGCGTTGGCTTTCACTTTTGGTCGGGTGACAGAGCAGCGGCGATAGCTACTAGCTGAGTGCTAACCTCTCTGAGTCTGGGGTAACAGTCAACATGTTACAAACACGCTCAGATGGATCAGACAGTCGCGCTGCATCAAAACAAAAGTATTTTCTACTCTTTCAAACTGTCAATCATGCCTCTGTGCTTTTGGATGTAAAGTGCAAACCAAAGGGAATATTAGGCGGACAGTTAAGCACATACCACCTTATCCCTAAATGTAATCAGGTCTCTGCACTTCTCCTGGATTCAAACTTGGATTACTTCTGTTTAACAGAATCGTGGCTCCACAGTAACATTCCAACTAATGTGATTGACATTGCTGGGTATCAGTGAAAGCACTTAAGAAAGAACAGAATTACAGGCAGGGGGGAGGAGGATTAACCCTCTGGGGTCTAAGGTGTTTTTGGGGTCCTTGAGATGTTCTGACATGCCCTGACATTTGTGCTTTTTTCAGTTGCTAATAAACATATTAATGGCACAGGTGGAATTACACTCTATTTAGCACAAACAGGGCTACCATAATATGTGAGCAACATGTATGTACATGTTTGTATTTTTGAGAGAATACTGTATATGCGTGGTTATTGAAAAAACTAAATTTTTTATACATATCAAAATATAAAAGAAAGTCAAAAGCACATTGTTAGTCATACCTGGAAACAAATCTTGTTCAAATAGGTTATATCTGTCATTCTATTCAATTGGTTCAAAGTTAAGTTGGAAACATCTTGAAAAGAAAATGGTATTTTTCAATTATTTTTTAAAGTAGACCAATACATTTAATCAAAAATATTTCAAAGTTAAAGATTCATTATTTTGATTTAGCTTGCACTGGATAACAGTTGATTAGTTTATTTTTGACAAAACATACTATATATTTAACATATGCGCAGACACTGTCTAACAAAAGCTTATTTGATGTCTAATTTATAGTAAAAACTTTATAATATATCCAAAACTAGTCAACAAAATATTGTCTTTTATTTAGTCTAACAGTTCGTTCTGTGCGTTCGTTCATTCACTCACCCAGACACCAACATTTAATCATTTAGTCTTTTTGGTTTTACAGATACTATTCTATATCGCGATTAGAACAGATCTCAGTAGGCTATAGCAATATAGTTTGAATGTATTCATGTAAAAATAACGTTTACTAATGTAGGAACGAGAGTGAATGAGCGCACAGATGATGTACGTCTATAGTAGGGATGGCTCGATACCACAATTTTGGCTTCGGTACGATACCAGAACCTAATACCTCGGTATCGATACTAAATCGATACCACAGTCGGAAAAAAAGAGTCTAAATTTAAGTGAATTGAAACAATTTTATTAAACACTGCTTGAAACTCTCAACTACCATATGTGCAAAGAAAAGTATCCCAAAAAAAAAAAAAAAAAAAACGTATCAAAATTTTAAAATAAAATTATGTGTAGGTAAAATTTTGATTTGGGAAAACCACTGATATTACACAATTAAAATAGGTTAATATAATAGATTAACATAATAGAATAATGAAATGACGTAAACCATTAGCTGTCATGCATCAACAGAGAATTATCAACATTTATTGCATTTATTCATCTTGGTTTGGTTACTGTTTGTGTTTGGGCTCATATTATGCATATAATGCATTGCAAAAAGTAATTTTATGATGCTAAACATATATTAGGATATTACATTTTTAGGTCATTTTATTACTGATTGATCTAGATTAATCAATGCTATATTGTTAGGCCAGGTTCCTTAATGAATGTTGACAAATGTAGCTTAATTGTAGGCTAATATTATTAATATTTATATTACTACCCTCTCTCTCTCTCTTCGCCACAGCCTCAGTAATGCCAGTCATTTATCACTTTTATGCTTTATTAATTTAAATTAAATGAATATATTTGTTTGAAATAAATTGCAAAAATGAGATCATGAGACGTAAACTGAGATCATGAGACGTAAACTGAATTGGTATAGCGTGTCATGCAAAGAAGATTTGAGCTTTCGTGTTTACCATATCATATTTAATTGATAAGCTCTTAGGTATGTGCGCTGTTCAGTGTTCAATAAAAGTCTAAATTAAATCAGTTGAATGATGAGAACTCACCAGTCGATCTCTTGAACAAGTCAGGATGAGCAACTGACGAGCGCTTCGGCAGATTTGATGTGTTGCCTTCCATGGCAACACATTATTGAAAGCAAAGTTTGTAGAGTGGTGCATTGAGGTCTGTGTCTACACTATTCTTATTACTTTAGTAGGCAAAGTAATGCCTTATTTCACTAATACTGCTCTCTCTATTTAATAATTTCGGGCGTGTAAAAACCCGAATGAGCTTTATTTCCACCGTGTTCCTTCGTTTGCCAGTTTCGCGTGACTTGCGTCAGTTTCGGTAGCGCACTGCCGCCTAGTGGAGAACTTCGGAAAAGCAGCTCATCAAATACCGAATTTAACAAAATGATGATATTGTACTGTTTTAAATTTATTATATACCGGTATTTTTGCAATACCGGTATACCGCGCATCCCTAGTCTATAGTAAACAACATCGCGTGCACATCTGTGCCATTCATTAATTTCATACACAGACACGCATTTTATATTTAAAGGGTTAGTTCACCCAAAAATGAAAATTAAGTCATTAATTACTCACCCCCATGCTGTACCAACCCCGTAAGACCTTCGTTCATCTTCGGAACACAAATTAAGATATTTTTGATTAAATTTGAGAGCTGTATAACTACCACATTGGCTCCTAAGGGAATGACACTTGACGGCCCAGAAAGTCAATGAAGAAAATGTTTAAATATTCCATGTGACTACAGTGGCTCAACTATAAGTTTATCAAGCGACGAGAATACTTTTTGTGCGAAAAAACAAACAAAAATAACGACTTTATTCGACTATTCCTTTTCTTCCTTGTTGGCCTGAAACGAGACTTCAAGAGATTTCCACGACGCATGCGCGAGAATTGCGATCTCCTTCAACTACTTCAGTTCAGTTCTCGCGCATGCGTCGAAGAGCTTGAAGCTGTGCTGTGCGTACACAACACACAAAATATTTATTGAGCATAATACATAAAACATAAAAGCAACAATTAATAATTTTAATAATACTTACAGGTTGTGATTCGGAGGAGGAAGCTGATCCAAATAAACTTGGTACTGAACCTTCCTTTAATATCAGGTGGCTCGCGAATCCATATTTGATAGCACACGTCACGGTCACGTGTTGGAGCTGCGCTCAAAGTGCGCGGCGGCGTGGCGGTGACGTAGCTGAGAAAGGATTGTTTTTACTTTGCGTTTGAATAACGTACGTGTGGATCAACGTCTGCATAACGTACTTGTGGATGAACGTGTGGATCAACGTCTGGCTGTTAACCTAATAGTTAGGCTGAATTCTATCATGTCACTATAGAGTGCCGAAGTTACGACGTCACTCTGTAGGCCAAAACGCGGAAGTAAGTTAGCATTTTAGCACTTCCGGTTCCCTTGCTCTAAAGTTCTATGGGATTTTCGAATGGGTTTTTGCTAAATCGCCTGAAATAAGGTCTGTGGTGAACATAGCCTTTAAATATTTTCACATTTTTATCTATGACAGAACACACAGTTATAACCTGCTTGTGGTTTTTTAAACTTTATTGTGTCTGCTTGTGTTTTTTAAAAACTTTATATAGGCTTCAAAATGTATTTGGATTAACTTGTAAAGATTATCTTGATAGACAAAACGTGTAAGGGTCACAACTCTTTGTTAAACACAGAACTTATTTTTTGCGATTTTCCAAAAGTCTATGGAGAAAATGCATAGCTTTTCGATGGAGGGAACCCATGCGCCGCTAGCTTCCGAGTTCATCACTTCGGCACTCTATTGTACCTTTTTTAATTTGGGATATGATCATAACACACACACTGTTTTCATGTTTTTGGGGGTTTACAACACTATTATATATCTCATTTATATATATATTTATGTGTGTTTAATATTGGTAATCATGGGCGGCGCTAGGGTGGGCTGGTAAAGACCAAGGCACCGCCAAATATTATTTCTGGAATCAATTAACATTAGCCTATATTCAGGCTGTGTTCTATGCAGCCATGAAACAAATAGTGTGGGGGAAAAAGAAAACTTTCTATTTCTAGATATTGAGTCATTATTTCAACATAATTATCTGTTATTTCGACACAATAACGGGACAGTTTAATCAGGCTATTCCCAAACTGTGGTCCGGGGACCACAGGGTAGCCTACTACGGGTGGTTGCCGTGTACCGGACTTTTGAAAAGAAGTTCTTGCATATTGAGTAGTTCTTTTCTAGCTTACCCCTGTCTGCACTGCTATAAAATCCAAAGAGAGTCCACACTTTGGATGCAAATGTTGCTGGAGCGTCCTTTAACTTCTTGCTCTCACTTCTACTTTCCATGCTTGACTCCGCCATTTTCAAGTATGAGTGTATGTCTTCTTACACCCACAACAGCCAAACTAGCAACGTGCGCCATCTATCTACTTATGTAGAAGAGTCTCATCAAGGGATAATGAATAGACCGTTTATAATGGCTTTTAAGATCGATACTTGGCAAGAGCGCATCGAGAACTGATCGCGGGAGTAAATATCGTGAGATATCGCCGTATCAATATTTTGACGCAGCCCTACTTTTGAGTATAAAAAACAATGTTTGATTTTAACATTGTTTAAATCATTGTTTATAAAAGATTGTTTATTTAACAATGTAAATATCCGCCGTGTTATTATGTAATGTTTTCTCCCTTTCTTTCCAAACCGCTACAAACGCCAGTCTCCCTTTTCTGCAAAATGCGACATATCCGCTCAACCAATCAAAATGCACCATTCCACTCAATGTAAACAGTAACGGCAGCGCTTTAACTCCGGCTTCCTAGGTTTACTCACTCATCTATTTTGTACTTTTCGATAAACAAACAAAAAAAAATGAATAATTTTGACAGCATTGGTGAACCTGCGGAGGGTAAGGCATCCTGCATGGGTAAATGTGACATCGAAATCAAATCATTTACGTGAGGAGATTAAGAAGATGAGGCACTCGGGAGGAGGAAATGCCGGCTGTTGCTTGTTCTCACACGACAGCATCAAACTTCTGTCACACTGACACACTGACCCCAGGGTATCTTTTGAAAAACTTTCGGTTGTTTTATTCAAAGTCAACGAAAACCGAGCAGGACCAAGCCATTTTACAGCTGATCGCCATCAAAAAAGCTCAGCGGCGACATCCCATGGTTGACAACAGCAATATGTAGAAGTAACGTTAGATCATGCTTAATAAATCTTAGTTAATGTTTTAATTAAGGTGTTGTTCATCCATGAAGTCATGAATGAAAAACGTTGAACTGTTAAAAACACGTTGTTAGTTCCTGATGATATTAATGTATGAACGAATGCATAATTCATGCATGATTGTGCATGACATGTACCCTTAAAGTGTTACTGAATATTGTTATATTAAAGCAATGAATTTATAGTATGCACCAGAAATTCAATGTGTATAAAATTTTATTTTGATTAATTGCATTTTGAAAATGAAAATAAATTAATGGATTTATTGCATTTTGGGAAAAAATAATCTGTTTTTATAATAAGTCTTTGAAAAAAACAAAACCTGGATTTAAATCTTTATTGATATTATAACCTAAAAATGCTATGTGAAAATTTGAAACAGAAAATAGTGGTTTTCATCTTCCCATTTTCTTGCTAAAGAAAACACAGTTTTACTCAAATTCATCAAAATGGATTTATAGCGTTTTGGAACCACACTCTTCATACATATATATATATATATATATATATATATATATATATATATATATATATATATATATATATATATATATAGATTAATCGTAGAATCTTTCTCGTGTTCAGTCCAAACAAGTTAATTATTCAATATCACACTACTAAGATTTATTCTGTATACAATTACATTGTGATTTTTTTCTTCAGAGTTCCCACATGTAATCTCACTGCTCAGTCCTGTGAGAGTTTATCTTCAGTTTTTCAATCCTCAAACGTCCTGAGAGAGCTGGACCTGAGTAACAATAACCTGCAGGATTCTGGAGTGAAGCTGCTTTCTGATGGACTGAAGAGCCCAAACTGTCAGCTACAGACACTGAGGTTTGAGTTTAAATACTTTATTTTTTTTAGCAATGAGTTCATTATTAAATATCACACTGCTAAGATTTATTCTGTATGCAATTACATTGTGTTTTTCTTCTTCAGATTTTTCACTTGTAATCTCACTGCTCAGTGTTGTGAGAGTTTGTCTTCAGCTCTACAATCCTCAAATATCTTTCTGAGAGAGCTGGACCTGAGTAACAATGACCTGCGGGATTCAGGAGTGAAGCTGCTTTCTGATGGACTAAAGAGTCCAAACTGTCGGCTGGAGATACTGAGGTAAATGTTAATAAAATAAATAAATAATGAAATACTAACACACAATGAATGATTTCGTTTTCAATTTTCACATTTTGTCTGTGTACATCGTGTTATTTTCCAGCAGCTCGTGACCTGGACAATCAGTACTGATTATTCAGTGCAGGTGTGCACAGGTCACAAGCTGATTTCCCTCACCTGTTGCTTATTCTGTTTCTGATAAATTCTCTGCTGTGTCTCTCCCTTTTTGTTAGGAGATCATTTGTGTGTATCGTATTGTGTGCTGGAACTTTCCTGTGTCGTTGTGTCTCATCCTTGTCTGCTGCTGTGCCCAGGACGCCTAGACGAGTAATTATACAGCTTGCCATGCGCTTGCTGTCATCTATCTCGTCTCGCTTTCCTTCCTGTTGGGTGTGCACCTTTTATTTCTAAGCTCTTAAAAAGAATCATGCATTGTCAGTTGAATACCTTAGTACATCCAATATTTCTGATACTTTTAAGTCTGGTTTTAGATCTATGCACAGTACGGAAACTGTCCTTTTGCAAACCCTCGATACCAGTTCACATACGTGCGTGTCTTGTTGGATTTATGTGCTGCTTTTTATACAACTGACCATAGTATTTTGTTATATCGGTTAAGAGTGGTGGGTATTCAGGATGTCGCCTTGCAGTGGTTGACCTCTTATCTTAAAGACAGAACCTTCTCAGTAGACATGGGGAAGGCCTCTTCATCATCAGTTCCCCTATTATGTGGTGTGCCCCAAGGGTCCATTTTAGGCCCGCTCCTTTATATGCTGCCACTGGGTGCCATTTTTGAGAAACATAGGATATCCTACCACTGCTATGGTGACGATACAGTTTTATTTACCGGCAAAAACTGACAGTTCTTATCCCTCTGCAATTAAATGAGAGCAAGAGCAAAATGTAGATTTTAGGCCCATCTACTTCCTCAACTCCTTTTAATTTAGGTTCTATCCCCATGTAAGGAATCTTGAGTTATGTTGGATTCGGCACTACATTTTGAAAAACAAATCAGTTCAGTAGGAAAGGGCAGTTTCTTTCATTTTAGATTGATTGCGATATTAAACCCATTTTTGTCTCCAAAAGATTTAGTGACTGTAAACCTGTTTAGATTACTGTAAACTATGGCCTGCCTCAAACTACAATCTCTCGTGTGCAAATTGTACAAATTGCTGCAGCGAGACTTCTTACCGGTACAAAAATAGAGATCACATTTCTCCTATTTCAGCGATTTTACATCAACTTCCTGTTAAGTTAAGAATCGATTTTAAAATTTCTGTTTTCGCGTCTATCTGGTGTTGCACTAAAATACAAGCGTGACCTTCTGATTCCATACACTCCCCCAAAGAACTCTTAGGTCTTGTAATCAGTCGCTTTTAACTGTTTTTGTTGTAACACTAAGGATGATCGGGCCTTCTCTGCACTAGCACCTAAACTATGGAATAGTATGCCCTTCGCTTTGAGGTCTGCTCCTTCATTAGCCAGTTTTAAATCGTCTCTTAAAAACGTATCTATTCTTTCTGGCTGATAGATTTTATATATTTTCTATTTGGATTGTATTAGGTGTAATGTTTTTATATCTGTATCTGCCTTGTTTCTTTTTATGCTTTCTTTTTTATTTGCACATACTTAACAGTTGGCTAGCATTTTTTCTTAATCAGTTCTAGTAGAGATGCACCGAAATGAAAATTCTTGGCCGAAACCGAAAAAGAGGAAACCAAGGCCGAAAACCGAAACACCGAAAGAAATTATTCCAATTATCAGTATCATTGCATTTATGGCTATGTGTACAAACTTTCCTAAAATCAAGGCATTGCGATTGCATAAATTAATATAAAATTTTCAAAGAATAAATCAATTACAAATTACAAATATTTATTTAGCACAATGCACAGTATAAAATAAAATTCAAACTAAAATGTTTTTGACCCCACTCATGTGTACATTAAATAATAATATGGCCTGCAGAAAGGTTTTAAAATTAAATGTTCTCTCATAAAAACAAAGTCGAGCATGAACTTCTCATCACACCAGCACCCAGTTTGCAAGTCTAAATTAGTTGCTTACATTTTTAAAAACTTAGCATACAAAACCATTAAAATCCTGTTTAGTGAAACACTAAACATGTTTAGTGAATGTAGAAAATATTTAAGAGAGCATTAATTTAGTTCTATACATACATGTTCCCATATACATATTTTTTTTGTAATGTCACAAGTAATAATCTCAGGGTTTACTGGGTTTAACATGATTATTTTTGTATTGGTGGTGGAATACTAAATAAATAAACATTGTCATGTGTTTATCTTTCTTCTTCTCACCGATTCTTGGTTAGAGGACCGTTACTTGAGTTGTCCCCTGTCGTTTCAAGGAATAGTACAACGGCGAGCGAGTCAACTATAAACGCCTCGAGCAGTCCGCGTGCTGTCTGTGGAGACTAGCGCTGCCTTGTTTATACTTTCGCCTGCCTCCGCAGCGCGAGTCTCCACAGTCAGACAGCGCTCGCACCGCTCCAAACGGTAAAGGCGTTTATACCTATACTTGACCCGCTCGCATCCGGAGTCGTTGTCATGGCGGCGCGCATTGTTTAGAGCAGATATAGGTGGATAAACAAGGCTTCTGTCTCCTCGCGGGTTCAGATAATCTGAAATACGTCCGCACCGCAGACATGTTGCTTCAGACAAGCACCGCGAAGTTTCTGTTTGCGTCATCACAACATTTCGGCCGTATTGTTTCGGTGATAAGTCTTTCCGAAAATTTTCGGTGGCCGAATATTCGGGGCATCCCTAAGTTCTAGCTATAAATATGAGACAATGAGATATGGTTTTGTATGAATTTTGAAGTTGGTGATATAAACAATGTATAAATATACATTCTAGCATGATCCATGTTGCAGAGTGAAACGCAGCACAGTATTCACACTGGCAGTTTAGTTCAGAACGGTGTATGGTGTGCATGATAAACTGGTAATGTGAAAGCCTAGGGTACTCAACCGGAGACTACTTGGAGGAGGTGGTCTGAATTCGGTTGAACTCAAACTGTGCACCGATTCGCGTGAATGTGAAAGCATCTACACTCACAACTACCCATGGCATATCTTTTTGACACACCACCTGTTTTATTTAGCTGACCAACTCTCAAAATCTGTGTGCCAAAGCTGTACGACACACTGGACAACTCACTGACGTGTAAATCACTGACGTGAAAGATGTCGGTTCGAATCCCACCTCTGACAAGGTTGAAATCACCCAATATCTTTTCTAATCTTTTCTTAATGAATGAACATATATGTATAAATTTCATGTGCTTTTATGCCTTAACACTTATTTTATAAAAATGTATTTCTTATTGTATGGATACATGTTTATATTTATTTATTACCCATATGAATATGGAGTTCCTTGAAATGTACTATATCAGATATATAGGCCTATAATAATAATAGTTAAGCTGCGTTTTTGCAAAATCAGTGTTTTGACTCAGGCTCGCACAATGATTAATGATAAAACGTTATTACTATATTCATATATGTTATTTGTATGTATGTATTTTACATATTTGCTTTTGAAAAAAGACCCAATTCATTAATACAATCTAATTTAAACATGAAATAAATTAGAATTGAAAGAATTGCAACAATGTAATTGTCTTCTCTGAGTTAATGTTGGCAATAAATAAAGGATTGCTGTTTAAATATATTAAACATTTATTATAAAATATTCATCTTAATTATCTCTTTCTCTCTCACAAACAGTAAGCATGGCACATAAAAAGAATTGAATAATTAAATATAAAATAAATAAATCAAATAAAAAATTAATAAAGGTAGAAGATTCTGGTCAACTGGTAAAATATATATATATAAAAGACAAAATCAGGCTCACCCCAAAAACAGTAATATACAGTGTTTTTTTTCGATTATGTTAATCATTTTTGAAATGCCAGACCAGACCTATATGGGATGAACATTGAACAGTTTATTTCTTATCTGCCCTCTTCGTCCGCATCTCCTCCATTCACTGGTGAAGTGAAATACCAGCATTTTGCAGTTTGAATGCATAGGCTTGTGGAGTCGAAAATACATAGACAAGAGGGTTACTGGCAGGGCTGGGCCCGAAGACAGTAGGCAAAGGGGAAGGGGTAAGTAAAGATGTATGCTGATCTTGCTGTAGTCTCTGAGAATAAGAGTCCATCTAGTCAGTGCATATGTACCCTGTTTTTGGACATTTATCGATGTCACAAAGTTTTACAAAAATGCACCCTACCAGATGACAACAGTCTGGCCACTGGGCAGGGGGATGATGGTACTGGCCTGCTGGGAGTTAAGTGTTTGCCCAGTTTCATTCCTCAGTCCCAGTAAGTACTCTGCCAGGCTGTCCACTCTGTCCATCCCTGGGATACTGCCCTCATCCTCAGCCTGTTAAATATATGAATATATAAAAAAAAAATAATATCACAGGCAGAAAAATAGCACATCCTTCACACTGTTTACATGTCACAAAAGACCTACCAGCTCTTGCTGTGGTGCTGCTGGAGTCATGGCAGGTGCGATTCATTTGATTTTGGTTCACCCTCAAATCCTAAAGCCTGTTATCTGTGCATAGCGCACAGCGAGAAGGAGAAAGGCATTTCCTTGTCCTTGAACAAAAACTGTCAAAATACCCATCTGAATACCCGTCTCGGCAAGTATTCTGTCGTTTACGTCATAAGTGAAGTGTTGAGAAAGAAATCGGATGTTTGTCAAGTGAGCTTAAAGAAAAGCAGAGTACACCCCCACCATACATGTATACAGTAAATATATATATATATATATATATATATAATTTATTTATTTTTTGCTGATCCGAAATATCTGAATACCGTGGCTCAAAAAAAATTATTTTTAATTTTGTGATCTGTTCCATCACTAATCAGCACAGCATCAGTTGCCTGAAAGAAACGTTGCGGTGAGCTGAGAACTGCTGCAACCTGAATATATTCAAAACTAAAAAGTCGAGGCATGTTTCCTGTGTGTTCAATAAGTTTCTACTGTTTTGACTAAACATTTACTTTGCCCACTTAGAACCTTGGCAAACATTTGTTTGTGTATTTTATAATTGAATAAGATGTTCCTAAAAATATATTGCAATATTAATAAAACAAATAAATGTTTAGTTTGACAGTTTTGCTAACCATTTATTGTTTTTCCAAACTTTTAAATAATAAATTGGTTTATTTTGAGTCGGAGTGACCCTAAGCCATATCTGAAAGTGATTAACTTTAGTAAATTGGCGAACTGTTTAGAATGATTCAGTCCAATTTGGTGAAGTGGCTCAATCAATTTTCTATAAAGAATAGGTTCAAAAAAACGATTCATTCACAAACCGGACAACACTAGTCACTACTAGTGTTTTATTGTCATTAGCTCCCCGCAGTCTTCTGTTAATTTTTTTTAAAAAATTTTTACAGTTATGAATAAATTATACCGAATGAATGCCTGAAATAGGTATAAATGTTCAAGTCATGTGGACTATTGTTGTGTTTGTCTGTAGATTGTCTGGCTGTATGGTGACAGAGGAAGGCTGTGGTTATGTGTCTTCAGCTCTGAGTTCAAACCCCTCATACCTGAGAGAGCTGGATCTGAGCTACAACCACCCAGGAGATTCAGGAGTCAAGCTGCTCTCTGATAAACTCAAGGATCCAAACTACAGACTGGAAAAACTCAAGTATGTAGAGCAGGAAGAGTTCTGGTGAAATCATATTCATAAAAACATCATTACAATCTTCATTTAGGTTTAGCTGTAGTTATACAATTGAATGTGGGGGAGAGGATATATAGTTTATACAGTATACAAATCATAACACTATGTTGATTATGTCACTGTGGGTGTTTTTTCTAGTGTGGATCATGAAGAAGAGATCAGGATTACAGCAGGACCACGAAAATGTATGTCTACACACACACACACACATGCATACACGTCTGGTTCACTATCTTTGTGGGGACTCTCAATAGACGTAATGCTTTTTATACTGTACAAACTGTATATGCTATTGCCAAAACTAACCCAACCCCTAAATCAACCCATTACGCAAAAGTTCACTCATGGTTGCCACCTTCAGGCGAAGCAAAATAAGGGACACCCATATAAGTGTATTCATTCACTTACGTATGTATATATACACTTTTTAAATGCCATACATTGAGTATGACAGATAAAATCATTTATTATGCATATGTGATTAATATTTATAAATGATAAATAAATAACATTAATTATAATCTATTAAAAGATCTTTAAAGATAATAGTTACCTGTCTACCAAGCTCTGCAAATGTAAGGAATATTATAGTTAAGAGATTATATAAAAAATCTGTTATATTTTTATCCCTCTGTAACCTCTAGATACTTCTAAAACATTTCTATAATCCTCTGCAATTGCCTTTACCTTTAGATTAAATATGAACGATGTCAATCCAGGGACCTCAGCGGTGTGTCTAACCAGTTCAACCCTGGGGTCGGCTGCTCTGGCCGTTTGCTAAAATTAATATTTCATTACAAAAAATCATGAAAAATTGATTGGGAAAAATTATTCAGTCTTGTTTAAAAGGTTTTAAATACCTCTCTCATGTTTTTATGCTAACCCTGTTTTTCTGGGCCACCCTCAAACTATCAGCTGTCGTTATATTACAGCTAACTCGGTAGCACTTTACTTGTAGGGGTGTGCATAAGACTGACACGACACCTTCATAATCATGACATGACACTCGTAGTGGGAAGTTCGGATCATTTTACTGACTCGGATCTTTGAGTCTCGTTCAGCAAAATTAACAAATGTTTTTTCGAGTCATTTCGATCATTTCAGCGTAATATAATGGCATGTTAAATATCCCAACACATCTAGTACTTACGAAAATCTTGATTACATTTGTAAAAAGAATAAAAATAAACTATAGGATAATGCAGCCAAAGCCTAATTTTAAGCAACTGAAATGTTGTATTAGTTGATTAGTTGGGTCTCAAGTTCAGGCTATTGCAGTCTGACCCTGTTAGTTCACCTGACCTGAGTGACCTCCTGATCCGAGTCGTTCTTTCCTTTGCAACTTCATAATGATTAGATCATCTCTCGAGTCTCGAGTTCGGGTTCAGGGCGGATCAGAGTCTTTCGTTCTTCCTGTCAGTCCCATAGAGTCTATGCTGTCAGTACCGGAAAGAGAAATGATTAGTTCATCTCTCGAGTCTCAAGTTCGAGTCTTTTGTTCTTCCTGTCAGTCAAAAAAATTGTTTGTTTGTTTTTTTTTATTTTCTCAAAAATTGAAACAGTAGCAGCAGCACTTATAATCCCCCTTGGTCTGAGAAAGATAACAGTAAGATTACTTGAGCTGGAAATGACAAATTTAAAACTGAAGGGATGTCAATTTTCACAAATCCCCATGATCGATCATTATTTAAATTAACGATCAATTATGCGTCTGGGTGGCGTATGGCCAACAGCTGGACAGAGTCTCTGCAAATACTGCTCAAAACACTATGTTCCCCACCAAATTAAAGAGAATGGTTTTTAATCTAAATAAAGGGCTAGTAGGATTGTAAAATGTTTCAATATTATAGATAATTAAATTAAATTAATTATTTAAAAATCAAATATAACGACTCATACAACGTGTCACCAACGCCACCTCAGATGCGTGCTTGTCAGAATGTGTTTTGGATACGCACTGAAAACAGCAACCAAACCCAATGAATTCACAACGATTTAATAAAACAGTGTTCTGATGTTATCTAAGATGATAGTCACAAACTAATCATTGTTATTAGTAGTGCATTGCTGCTTGAGCGGCGCGCGCTGAATGAATAACCGCTGAGCACTTTCATTATTTAAATCAAAGAAACACAACCTATATGAGATTAGTCAGATATATACAAAATGAAGATAATATTACAAATAATATCTTCCCAAATTGATGTGAAGGCACAAGTGAACTTGAACCAAGTTACGTGCCATTCAGAATGACTAAATGTTGTGCACACGCTCTTTCTGGAACAACGTGACAGGGCAACTAAACCCAAATAATTCACCATGTTTTATTACAATATTGTTCTCTTTATAATGTTATGTAATATGACAGTCCCAATAGTCAGTATTAGTCGTGCATTGCCGTTTGAGCTGCGCGCACTAAAGATCACGCTTCAATTATTTACAAAATGCATCCAATATGACATAAATCAGATATAGAAAGGCGTACACATAATAAACTATTACAACTTACATTTGCATAAAACAAAAGGTTGCGAATACACACGCAAATGTAGTCATGAAGTCCCAAACATAACTCCGGCGCGCTCGCTTACATGTTTCACGGTTGAGCAGCAGGCACGCGCATGAACCTGGTTAATCGATGATCAATAAGTTTGATCGATTAATGTATTATCAACAATTAATCGATTAATCGTTGACATCCCTAATTAGCGTATAACATTAACGGACGTTCATCAACAGATTTCAGTCTATCTTTACTCATCTCAGTAGGCTATAACAATAGTTTGGTCAGACGTGCTGTACAGCTGTAGTGATAACAGCAAGCGTCTGTGCCGTTAATTTATTCTCACACAGACACACGATTCATATTTTAAAAAACATATTTTTGCAGTTTATTTTGCAGTATATTATAGACACTATTCCATATCGCAAAACAACAAACCACTTAAGAATAAATAACTTACTACTATTTACATCAGCTTGATCCGTTGCTCCTGGAAATGAAACTACCAGCACTTCTGAGGTAACTTTTCCAGGATTATTACGATAGTATTATTCCTCATAGTGTAGCAAGACGATGTAAAGAAAATTACTCTTAGTAAACTTGATGTGTTTTATCCAGCTGTAGTGAGCATTGACATGTTTGCGTGGCTTGCTTCAGATTATTTGCGTTTGAATTCATTTTAAAGATGAGAATTCAAGCTTCATGCCTGTGTGCCTGTATTCCTGCACGACGGAGTATTCACTGAGTTACACTTTCCGCGTTTCAGAATAGACTTCACTGACATAGAGATTGCAGAACTCGCATTATGTTTTTCTTTATTTGTTTGGCGAAAAGCACCAGCACTTTGTTTTTATTGTGAGTATCCCCGAAAAAAATAGGGTGTGGCAACCCTAAAATAGAATTCAATTTGCATACCGAGCCCGGAGCCCTCTCCTCGGACAGCATGCCAAATACGCATTTGTTCTATCTGACTTATTTTTAAGTATAAACTCGTGAACTGTACGATTTGATTTTTTAACAAAGAACCGTAACACCCCTATTCAGTGATGGGAATAACGGCGTTATAAAATAACGCAGTTACTAACGGCATTACTTTTTCCAGTAACGAGAAATCTAATTAATTACTCTTCTCATCTTAACAACGCCGTTACCGTTACTGCCAAAAATGCGTCCCGTTACTATAACAACTGATGAAGCTGTTTTTTTTTTCTCCATCAGACCAACTAGATCTCTGAGCGAGAGGCACACTTTTTTACTGCTCTTCCATTGAGCACGAGACAAGCGCATAAATGCTGACGATTGGCTGAGGTAGAGTAAACTGTCACTGTAAGCCAATCAGAGGTAGAGTTGGGCGGGTGTTCTAAAGCACGCATAGTAGTGATGAGCATTCGGCTCTTTTGACTCAGCTCTGAAAAGAGTCGGCTCTTTTGGCTCACAAACGGCTCTTTAAATGACTTTGACTATAATATTTCACTTTTTATTATATAATTATTTAATTTCTATAGGCTAAATTTGTAAAAATAGAGTCGACTCTTCAGATATGCAAGCCAGCTCCCGACGTTGAAATAAAAGAGTCGGCTCATTCGCGAATCGCGAACGACCCATCAAAAGCTCATTCGCGAACGAGTCGATCCATCATCACCTACGCTCCTCCGCGAACGACCCATCATCACTATCGACTAACGCTCATGAATTGCGAACGACCCATCATAACGCATAGTCGGACAGGAATAACGGACACAAGGAATAACACAAGCCAGTCAGTCAACGAGAGACAGGTATGCCGACGAGCCCAAATAATCCAAAAGTAGCCTTCTCTAAATGGTATTGCTTATGTTAAGTTTTCATTTCCAACAATCCAGATACAATTTCTCAGTGTTATTTATTTGTTAATTTTCGTCTCAATGCGCTGGTATAACATCAGTGAGCGAGGGAGCAGCAGCACGACATTCATCTCAAGGAAGGAACACAAGTTGAGTCAAAATAAAAGTCCCCATTTGTTCACACATGCGCACAATGAACTCTTGCACATTTTTAGTAACAGTAAATAGCATAAAGTAAAAACAAAATAACAGTAAGAAACATAAAATAATATAGTTAATGAGAACATATAACTCAACAGCTTAACAAACTTAATTTAATTTTGCCCAGTTGTGGCCTGTTGAGGGGCAATAAATATCAAAAGTTCCAAAACATCTATTGTGTTATTTGCATTGATCCACTATATAAACATAATATCTACATATATGGCATTTGATTGGAGTCTCACTAGTCTCACTTTGTCCCACAGCAACATTTTTTTTAGATGTGTGTAGGCTACAATGTTTCATGTTTCTGTTAATGTATTGTATTAAGTGTCCATTTCATTATAAAATTCAGATTTTTCATAAATAATTGAACATGCACATGTGTTTTAAGTTCCGTTAAATAGGGGTAGAGGTGGGGTCACATCTGAGCATTTAAAATGTAATTTTACTTGAAAGTAACGCAATAGTTACTTTCTTAAGTAACTAATTACTTTTTAAAATTTGTAACTGAGTTACTAATTTAGTTATTTTTTGGAAGAAGTAACTAGTAACTGTAACTAATTACTTTTTAAAAGTAACTTGCCCAACACTGCCCCTATTGCACAGACCAGTTGCCTAGTTGACTTTAGTGTTCTAACAATAGTTGCTGATTATGTGAACAAAATGGACACTTGCAGAAGACCTTTAGACTGTTCTGACTCAGGGTGCTTTCACACTGGCAGTTTAATTAGGAATGCTGTCATGTGAATGCTGTCATGGGACCCGGGTGCGCACTGTGGTACCGACCCCGAGAATACCTGGAGGAGGTGGTTGCTCTTTAACTGTGCTACAGTTCGCGTGAATGTGAAAGCAACACGGACTCAGGTGCGCACTTGTTCAGGAAGTAAAGTAACCTGCGCATGCGTTTTAGTGGATGACGTATTTAGTTAAATAAAACGGATGTAAGGGATGATAATGTTGATGGTTTAGCTTGGATACAAGCGAAAGTGAGCCTGCAGGGTAGCTGCAGGAGTGCCGGGAACAAACGCACCTGGCCTCGGACCGCAACAAGCAAGCCCAGTGTGAAAACAGCCTTAGTGTGCTTTATCTCCTCTGACAGCTTCATTAAAAGATCATATTGATAATTCCTGATTCTGATGTGTTTTCTCTCCATCAGATTCCTATCAGTTCACTCTGGATCTGAACACAGTGAATAAACTCCATCTGTCTGAGAACAACAGCGTGATTACTTACACTGACACAGAGCTCCAGCCGTATCCTGATCATCCAGACAGATTTGATCATTATGAGCAGGTGTTGTGTAGAGAGAGTGTGTGTGGACGCTGTTACTGGGAGATTGAGTGGAGTGGGTATGTGTTTATATCAGTGTCATATAAGAGCATCAGCAGGAAGGGAGAGGGTCCAGAGTGTGTGTTTGGATATAATGATCAGTCCTGGAGTTTGTCCTGCTGTTCCTCCAGTTACTCATTCAGACACAATAACGTAGAGACTAAACTCACTGTAAAGCCCATCAGCAGTAAAATAGGAGTGTGTGTGGATCCCAGTGCAGGAACTCTGTCCTTCTATGGCATCTCTGACACAACGAGCCTCATACACACAGTCCAGACCACATTCACTCAACCGCTCTATCCTGGGTTTAGGGTTTATTATAATGGATCATCAGTGAAACTGACAGTAGAGTAGACTGTAGAGAGATTATACCCATAATATTTTGTGCTCCATGATAAATGCACTACATATCTGTTAGTGAAATAAAGAGAAACCCAGAAAAACAGACAATGATACAAAGAGAAGAGAGAGGAAATATGAGAAATTTGGTTCAGTCGCTTTGTTTCCCTAATCTGTTCTCTGTGCATTTATACCCTGTGTTATCACTCAGTCCTGGTCCGTTCTTGTTTATTGTAATAGCGTGTTTTGTGGTTCCCGAGTTATGTTAAATAAATTCATGTTTCCTGTCCTGAAATTCCTGAATTTCCTTGATTCATACCACCACCTATCGTAACAAGGGCTGTTTTACCCATACCATACCATACCATACCAGCAAATACAACTGCAATAAATAATGTTATGAGATTGATGTTTTAAATAAATATTGGAATATACAAATAAAAAAAAAATGCAATACTTAAACATTATACTAAATAGCCAATAGGTGGCGGCAAGTGGCCGTCTTAATTAGTGAGTCATTCATACAAAAGATTAGTTCAGAACGCTGAATCATTCAGTGGCACCACGCTGCTGTTTCCTTTGTAACTATTTTAGTCAGTGAAATAGAACAAAAACAGTTAATATGGTTTGTCTCTGAAAAGTAAGTTATTTAATAATTAATATTAACTATGCTACTTTTTTATTGAACAATAAATTAAATTTACAATTGTGATAATACTCAGCAAAACAACACCTTTAGTTGTGTTACGTTAAACTAAATCATTTGTTCTACTAAAAATAAAAACAAATACATTTTTCTTCTGTGAGTTTTTTGTGTGCTGTTTCACTCATTTGTTTTTATCTCTCCACGAATTTAATGTTAGACTGGCGCTATCGCTGATCACTTTTCTTGCAGTTCAACACTAAGTTAACGAAGAAAAAAGTACAGTATTTACAGATGAAACTGACCTGACTTGAAGCCCTGAGCAGGTCAATAATTTTGCAACATTTTGCTGCTTATTCTTCCGAGTGCTTTCTTTATCTTTGTCCTTTCCCTCTCTGCTCCACCTGGCCGTTTTCTCTCCATCATCGGGTGCTGTTCGCATTTTCTGTTTAATTAACCGTTTGGCAGAGGCGTAAAGTCAAGTTGTAGCCTTGACATTCAAGACTAACAAATTCATGAGTTTATTTATTAATATTATTCTTATTAATGATAATAATTTTAATAAAAGATGAATTTGAAAATGATCACTGGTAAAGGTAGTAAAAAAGTATTAAGAAAAAACACTGGTTGGCAGCAGGCCAAATTAGGCCGGCAGGCCATAATCCAGGGGCGGACTGGCCATCTGGAGCACCGGGACCTTTCCCGGTGGGTCGCTGGCCAATGTGGGCCAGCCCGGAACACAAATAGCCTATATATAAAAAATATATATGTAAAACAATGACGGAAATCATAATATTACATTTCTTTCTACGCAAATGGAAGAGGGAATCGATCACGTGGCCGACAAGCAGTGTGTTTCGTGTGCATGCATGTGACTGTCCCTCCCTGTTAAAGTCCCCGTGAACCGGAAGTTGCAAACAACTTTTCTCCAGTGTTGTGACGTATTTCCGAGAGAAACTGAATACTAAATGAGGCAAAATAGTGGGCGTGGCTTTTTTTCCCAACTAGCACCTGATTGGATCTAGAAAAATGGGTGTTTCATTCTGAAATGGAGGATGACGCAATTTTACGCACGGTGTCAATCAATCGCAAACACACAGCAGCTGTCAGTTGGAGGGGTGTGGTTATGGATGTTAAGGAGACACCCAAACCGTAAAGCCTACGTCATCAGGCAAGGTCCTCCAATGCAGAGGGGAGGGGCATTTTCAAAATTTGATTAAAGATTACGAAGCTAAATTTTTTTTGTGAGAGGATTGACTTGCATGTATGAATTGTTCACCACAAAACGATCAATTTAGGCAAACAAAGTAAGTATGGTCAATTTTGATTTCATGGCGACTTTAATTAGTTTGGTCTACTCCGTTGCGTATCTTGAAACACGCCCTCTTTCACGTTTGGTCTACTCGTGTTTTGGTTAATTAGTTTGGTCTTTCATCGCCGTGCAGATGAAGCCGACTCCCTCGCGTCGCAGGAAAAAAAGCACAATTTGAACACACCGAGAGAACTACAGCCGACTGTCAGCTAGAATGCGCACTCTGCGCCCGGGTGTAAATGAGACTGTCTATTTCTGCAGATATATTCGTCTATCTCGACTCGACATTCAAAAAACCGATGCTGCCCGCTGCAGATAAACAAACCGTAAACAAAGCAGTGTGTGCTTACCGTTTTCATATCATTCCTGCTAAACACTTCTTTATTCCACTCTGCTCATGTTTATATTTAAATATTCGCCAATGAACACTCAGGTAAAAAGACGTAACATTAGAACAGCCATGGATGAAAAAGAAGAAGAAAAGGTGAAGATGCAAAGTTACTCGTTAAAAAAAAGCATTAGAGTACCTGTCTTGCAGTTTGTGTTAGACACTGATCTTATATATATATATACAATATATGAATATACAGCTGAATATACAGCTCTAAAATAAGTCTAGCTACCTCCCTGAAATAACTCTATAGCTAACTTAGCAATCATAAGTTAGCTAACATTCATAAATATAGAGCCCTTTTGTGCCGACGTCACAGTTACGTCACGGCGCTAGCTGGAGGCAAAACAAAGTGAAAACTGGAGACGGCCAATGCAAACCAGCACAGATTCAGCTACATAATAAGGAGCTTAAATTCGGCTCCGTATCGGCTCCGATACTGCCATTTTTGCCGGTTCGGGTATCAATCAGACGAGGCTGATTCAAATCCTACAGGGGTTGGACAATGAAACTGAAACACTGGCCAATGTTGGAGGTTTCACATCTATATGCCTGGCGGCCAATCTTCAGAGTGAAGCACGGGTGGATCAGTGATGGTTTGAGCTCCAATATCATGACAATCCTGATTGTATTTGATGGACACGACACTGCCGAGGACTACCAAACCCTTCTGGAGGATCATGAGCACCTGATGCTCAAACCGTGTATCAGCATGATCATGCACCAACACACACAGCAAGACTTGTGACAGAAGGGTTTGATGAAGATGAAAGTGACGTTGGACATGCACAGTCACCAGATCTGAATATTATCGAGGTGTTTTGGAGGAGCGAGTCCACCAGCATCATATAGTGACCTGGACACTGTTCTGGAAGAGGAACGGCTCATAATCCCTCTGGTCACTGTGAAGGACTTCTATCTGTATTTGGATGCAAAATGAGGCCCTCACCATTCTAACAAATTATTGTGTAGTAAAACCAGGTGTTTCAGTTTTTTTGTCCAACCCCTGTATGTATTTATGTTTGTTAGTGTTGTTAGTGGCGTCTTACGCTGAAGATTTTTTCTTTCTCTTGTTTTCTTTACTTGAGGTTAGTGTTTGTACTGGGGTTTAGTTACTGTGTTTGTTTTATTTATTTATTTTCTTCAGCACCGCTCTTGTCCCTCACTTTGTAATCGTTAATCTTTTATGTTGTATATAATTTGTAAATAGATGTTTGTTTGGATTTGATTCACGGTTTATTGTGTTATTGGGTGTCTTGTTACATCAAACAACTTTATACTTACTTAAAGCAAGTACACATTCAGTTTGGTCTTTGTCTGTTTCTTAATTTATTACATCATATTTCCTCAATAGAGTAAAAGTATATTACTTTAAACAATATTCTATTGGATTTATTTTAATTTTATTTTGTATATGTTACGTCCCATAACCTCTAGATGCCAAATATTATGTGGACGTAACACTTGGAGATCCATCCGATCTAACATTTTGGCATGATGTAACACCATCCACAGTCCAAAGATTTGGAAAGCTCAAATATATTTCATTAATATTCTGGCCATCTCTGATCATGTCCTGCTCACAGACTCAGTATGAATGTCATAATGCTGCAAACGCTGGTCTGAGATGAGAGAAACCTGACAGTGCTGTCATCTCACAACATATTGACATTGAGAAACCTGTGTTGCGCAATCACTGAAGCGCGTTAAGTTCTAGAGGCTTTATAAAAATCGTGTAAGTGTGGTTGTGTCATTCTCCCTCTACGTGTGTTCATGTTCTGTGGGCAGTAAAGGTCCATCGTCTTTTATTTCCTAACACTTTTCCCTGGGACGTGTATGTGAGAGGTGGCGAGTGCAGTTAGCATAAAGCTGCTGGACAGAAGATGTATGCGTTAGCCAATACTTGCGTCAAAGATGCAGGCAGGAAGCAGAAAACCACAAAGACAGGAACCGTAGACAGCTCACAGATTGCAAACTAAAACAGGGCGACAGAGACAAAATATTTGACACTGGCATAAATCTCACATCACGGTAAGTCTTCAGGAATTAATCTTCAGGAATATAATGACATCGAGATCTGGGCATTCTGCTTTTAGTTTAGATTAGTTTACAGATATTTTACAATCTGAAATATACAGAGGTGGAAAGTAAACATGTACATTTTAAACACTTCCGCTCTTCTGTAGGCCAGGCGTTGATTCACAGACGATCAGCTTTAGTGAGAAGATTGATTCTGACTAATAGATTTATTTTTGATGGCTACAGAAAATCTATTGTCTCCAATTAAAGTGTCTGGAAGATATAGTGTAAAGGAAGAAGCCAGAGTAAATAATATGATAAATGATTTGATGTTTTCTATTTTACCTATGTGAAAATGCTCAATAAAAATATGGACCAGGAAGTTTGAATTAGTTTTGAAGTTGAAATTACTTTAAAGTTGTAAAGCTCCTTTTTTGAAAACATGTTGTCTATTAGGATACACATAAAATAGCTTCTTACATAAATTAAAATTGCTAAAAAAAAAATGTATACAGCAAACACTGGAATACAGAGTAGAACAATTATCTGCATTAGAAACAACGAGCAAAGAATAAATGATTTTTTTCTAAGAAAAAATCCACAATTAAGGCAACAGGATTACAACTTAATATAAGCCCATATGACAGTTTTGGGGACTTTGAATTGTTTGTTTTGCATTAGCATTTCCTCAGAGCTCTAACTTAATAATTATCATCAACTGGAGATATGTCCATCTGAAACAAGTATAGGGCTACAGGTCCTTATTTTCCAGATTATTTCCACAGACGCATCTCCTGCTTTCTTTCATGGCGTGATTAATTTTATTAAAACATAAAATTAACTCTGGTAAGTTGTAATATGACGTGCCATAAGGGAAGCCCTGCTAGTAAAAACACCGTGTCCCTTAATCATGAAGATTATGATAATTTTTTCTTTATATCGACCACCACGCACACTTACG